ACAAGTCAACTCGACGCTGGGGTTTGGCTCTCGGCTGGGCTCATCCGCCGGCCTGAGGGGAAGGAAGGGAGAAGAGGAGGAAAAACCAGGTTCCTTTGGGCCTGTGGCACTGCTGAGCCGGGGCAAGCAAGGATGTGGAGGGGGAAGGAGAGTGATGCCCAGGAGGGTGGGACACGCTGCACGGCTGGCTGCCGGGCTCTTTCTCTCAGAAAGTTTACAGCCACCACCCAACCTCTTCCACCTTCTTCAGGCACCTGGACCATTTTTGTCTTCTTTAAGTGGAGCGGGTTGCTCTCATGGTAGTTCACAGAGTTTATATTAGCTAGGGCAAAGCCACTCAGCTCCGTGGCCCAGCATGTTTAAGGAGTAAAACAATTTGTGTGTCTGGACGCCACTGCCTGTCCCAGCCCGCAGGACCCGTGTCACATTCATCGGGGACCTCAGTCAACCCAACGATGAGCTTCAGACTGAGGAAGCCCCCGTGCTTCACATGAGACAGACGGTCGTGAGCTCACAGACAGCTCAAATTCTGCTTGCCCTACTTTTAGCTATCTCAGCCTGATTTTCCAGAAGTGCCGAGCCTTCACAGGAGGTATTTGGTAGCGTTCAGCATTTCTCTGAATGGATCCAAGGTGCTGCCAGCCAGGCACACACAGAAGAAATGCACCCAAAACCACTAAGCCCCTTGTGAAAACATGGCCAAAATGGGGAGTTTGCCCCGCTACAGTCCCCCGCCTCCCTCCTCGTCTGGCATTAAAAAACCTCATTTCAGCCTGGGAAGAAGCTTGTGGCATTTACACTGGAAATCCCTCTGGAGACAGAAAAGCACTTAGCTAACTGCAGCGGAAATTTTGGCAGAGACATGTAAAGCGATGCAGTTAATGTGCACGTTTACACACACTTATTACAGGAACGAGTCTGAAACAGTCTCAAGCCTCCCAATACAGATGAACCTCCAGGCAAGGCTGGGTTTGGCATGGCTGGACCCAGGTTTCTGGGTCTGGGGGAGAAGCCGGCACACGGGAGAGACCCCCCTGCCTGCTCCGTGCAAAATCTCCGTCATCCACCGGCATTACAGGAGCCACCATCCTGAGGGCTGACTGCCCTCCCATCCCTTCAGGATACCCCAGATTACCTTTTTAGCCTGAAGCGGATGCTGTGGCTGTGCTCTAAGATGGCCATCAGGGACTTCACGTCATACTCCATGGGTTTCTTAAAGCTGATCCCCTCAGGCAAGCCGGCCACCACCAGCGAGCCCGGCTCTTTCAGGAACCTCTCGTATGGCAAAGGGACCACGCTGCTCTTCCCCACGGCTTCACCTGGGGAGGGGGCAGAGTTACACACTGACGGCCACCCCATGCCCCTGCCCGCAGCCGAGCCGGGCTGGAGGAGCAGATGCAAGAGCAAGACATCCCGATGGAAACGTTATGAGAAAAAAACCGCTTCCTACCTGCGCACTTAGCACACAAGGACCTGCAAGCTCTTTCTAAGCGCTAATTAATAAAAAGCTCACAAAAGCCAATAAGCAGATGTCTCATCTTTCGGTTTGCACAGTAAAATCCTCGGTTGGGGTCACTTGGCACAAGCCCACCCCCCAAGGAGTGCCTGGACGCATGCCAGCAAGGGATGAGGCCACTGGCAAACCGGGAGGGAGCCAAGAGCTGACAAAGGAGGCTGAAGGGCTCACGTTGATTTTTATCTCATGTTTACTGAGATATTCTGGGAACCTTATTTTCAGTCAGTTTTCTTATTTTACCTCCTGGAAGAATGGAAAGTACTTTGATTGCTGGTGCTGTCAGGCAGCCTCGATGCACTTTGAAAGACAAGAAAAAAAAACAACCCCAACAGTCTCCCTCCATCCCACCATTCGCAGGCAGCATGAACATCGATACATTTGACTGCACCATTGCCTCCAGCGACCCAGAAATCTCACCCGCTCCCCCTGAAGATGGGCACAGAGTCCCTCCATGTCCTCACCACACAGGGCTGGCTCCACTGTACCTCTGAAACCAAAATCTCCCTGAGGAGTTGGGAGCAAACTGCTTTCCCTTTCCCAGCGGAACAAGATGACCAGCGGAGCAACGCAGCTATACAGACATTTTCTAAACCACCTAAAGAGCCCACGTGCCCAAACCGTGGATGCTGACGGTGCTCTCCAGGCAAGACACCATCGGAAAATGCTCCTTCTGAAGGATTTCGAGGAATGACCAAACCCTTGAGCTACTCTCTGTGGAAAAATTATTTTGGAAACCAACGCAAGTCACTACGACCAATAAACCTGGTGCTGAAAGCACGAACCAGAAGAAACAGCCGTGAAGGAATGCAACCTGTCTGGAAAAGCAGTGTCCAGATGCAGAACATCTGGCTGCATGGCAAGGTGTCTGCACCTTCATCTCCAGGCTGAGGGGCCGGCAGAGGAGATTATGGGACCTTTAAATAGTTGTGGTGGAATTTTATATTGTTGATTTTCTTTAAAAACTTTTCTTTTTTTCTCTTCCTTGAAAAAAACACACCAAAAGATCTTACAGAAACCCTGGAAATCTTGTGGGGCTGTCAGCAAGTCCTTATTAAAAGTGATTTCTTCAACATGTTCTTTGAAGCAATGCGTAATAACTAACGATGCGCAACTTGCATGAGCCATCAAGGTTCCTTATAGTCTGGATGGATAACGTTTTAATTAAGCCAATAACAGAAGTTTTCAAACCAAACCTCTGCACCACAACACCACGAGTACACTTTCTGCAAGCCCGGAGGGTACTGATGGTTTCCCTGCCCTGATGCACCAGCTCTAGCAGCTTTCCACCTCCCTCCATCATCTCTCTTTGTGATGGGGAGAAGCTCCCGATGCCCATGGTGGCTCCTTATCAACCCGACACTCAACAACTCCCCGAACATATTTTTATGGGGAACGCGTTACTGTCAAAGTGACCTTCACCAAGCCTTGCGCTGCCGTGCAGAGGTTCACTGTTTAGTTAAAGAGAGACAATCATCATTAATGCCTATTTAATAGAAGCTGGCAGTAATCAGTCATCCTGTTGGTGTGGAGATTACCCAGCTCTGGAGGGAATACGCGATCTTTTTTGACTGAACATTTTCTAAGATTTTTTTGTTTCCAATCCCTGTTGATAGGAGGCAACTGAAAGGATTAAAAAAAAAATACCTATAAGAAAGATAACTGTTAATTTCTGACAGTCCTCTTGGTGTTGGAAACAGAATCACCCTGGGGCACCTGCTATCTCCTGCGGTACTTCTCCCCACTCAACCAGGAGGGGCTCTTCCAGTGAGCATGCCGGGAGGGGAGCGTCCAGCCGGCGGGTTTCGCCACAGAGCGGCTCAAGGATGGAAACAGCTGATCCTATTGAATCAGCAGCAAGGGCAGAATTACACCCACTGCCAGAACTACACCCAAAGCCAGGGCCAAAACCACCGGCCCAGGGGTGCCCAACCACCTCCTGCCACGACAATGCCGACCACCCAGGGCTGGGGTCCCGGCCAGCCTGTCCCCACGCACGTCCACGCACCTTGACAAGGCAAAGAGCATCACAAACTCATCCCGACGGTTGGGCCACCTGGTCCGTACACCCTGTGCAAACGCACCCTGGTCATGCTTTTTTATGCAATTATGTATATATGGTATGTCATATATGAATAATTCCCATATTCCCAACAGGTCTGTAAAGCCTGGCGCGCTCCCAGAAGCAGAGCAACAAGCCCTGCAGCTCAGAGCAGGAACCCAACCAGCACCAAAACGCCCTCCCCACCCCGCTCCCTTGCCTCTTCTGCATTGCCCCTTCCTTCCTGCTTGGGCTGAGCCTTCTGGAGGCAGCAAGAGGATTTGATTACCCCCGTTAATGGGAATATTGCCTCCAAGTCCTTTAAGTGGTTTCAGAAAACCTCAGCAACTCTCCATCCCCAGGGGAAGAGCTGCCATCTCCCCTTTCTGCCGGTGAGTCCTGCGGCGGGCACTGGCGAGGCAAGCACCACATGACAGCTGGCAGTAGTAAATCCTGCGCACGAGCCCAGGATGGTTGGTGGGAGCACCCGTTATCCCCCTCCCGCTGTCGTGGGAGAGCCTGTTCCCAAACCCAGCACATGAACAGGGACAACGCCTGTGCTCCAGGCTCAGAGAGACCTGCACGGCCCTGGCAGGGCTCAGTAGCACACCGCAAATCCCAAATGGCAACCAGGAGCTGCACCCAGGAAAGCAAAACCACCTGGTTCTGCAGCTGGTCCAGCCACACGGCCTGAACTCCTCCAAAGCATCAGGTTGGGCTAATGCAACCCGCTGAGCAGCACAGGGGAATACTGGGGCTCACCACCCTGTTTTCCCAGCCCAACCTTGATTTTCCTACCCGGGCAAGCACGGCCCCGGAGGTGCTGCCGGAGGACGAGCCGGGAGCACGGCTGCCCCCTCCAGCTGCTGTGTGGGGGCTCCCGAGCGAGAAGCAAGCGCTGCCACCGCTCGAGCCTCTGCAGATTGGGCCCAGAGGGAGCTCTGCACCCCACTGGGTTACGTATCAACAGCCATATGGTCATCTACATTTTAATTGCAGAAGCTTTATTGCCGGGGATGATGCATGTGCTGGAACGGCACCAGCTCGTCTCTCGGAGCCGGAGCTGCAGGGCCGCCTGCTAGAAAAATCATCTTTTTTCCTTTTAAATAGACTTGCTAGGGAAAGGAGTGAGAGAGTCGCTGCAGAGACCCGACAGAGAGCTTGCAATAGAGGTGGTGAAGACACGGCACCAGGGAGAAAGATGCACTTGAAAAATCATACTCAGGGAAAGGCAAAGGCTTCCCCTGGCTGGGGGGGCAGAAGATGCTCCCTCCAGCATGGGGGGTTTTTTGCCCCGTCTGGGGCACTGGACAGTGAAGAAGCAGCAGCAGAAGACCCCATCTCAATGCAACACTAACGCTACGCAGGAGCACGTCTCGCCACACCGCCCCTGCCAGGCCCCTGCTCCCTTGCCGGAGGGGCAGGCTGGGGCTGAAAGCTGCATCTGGCAGCGGCGCCGGGCAGCTCAGCGAGCCCCGGGG